GAAATAAACAATTTAAAGAAGCATTGATTGGTGAGGCAATTTTAGTTTCTACCTATGATAATTTGCTGGTTCTCTTAACTATCCTTTTAGGTATTAATTACCTACCAATTTAACAATTTAATTGGGTATGTTTTTTTCTATATAATTGGTTATCTTCTGATGTCAAGCTAGAATAGGAAAGTAAAATTTGCAGAGGCAAAAGCTTCAGGGTAATTGGCTTAAAGTAGAATCTATTTCATGATTCCCAGAAACAAATAATGGAGAGTAAGGGGAAATGAGTAAAATATGTATATGCTTTGTGTTCTCACTCTCCATTGAAAGAGAAAACAGAAGTCAAAGTTTGTTTTACTTAAAGAATGATAGGCTGGTAGTAAGCTTATTTTTAAAGCTTTTACCATACCTTTTACACTAGCAGCTTTCATTCACAAAGAAAAACTTATGTGGTCATGTCACTCAACACGGATTCTAAGGCCCAGTCCAGTCCTAAAAATCAGTGATTCTAATGGCTACTCTGTATGCTGTATCCATTATACACTGTACATAGTACATATACTCTCAAGCACATTTAGCTCTGTTGCCTCTCTATTATTTTTAATTTATTTTTTATTGAAGTATATAGTTGATTTACAATGTTGTATTAGTTTCTGGTATATAGCAAAGTGATTCAGTTATATACATATATTATATATATATATTTCTTTTTCATATTCTTTTCCATGCAGCTTATTACAAGATATTGCATGTAATTCCCTGTGCTATACAGTAGGACCTTGTTGTTTATCTATTTTATATATAGTAGTGTGTATCTGCCATTTGCAAATTCCTAATGTATTCCTCCCCCACCTGCTTTCCCCTTTGGTAAACATAACTTTGTTTTCTGTGTCTGTGAGTCTGTTTCTGTCTTGTAAATGAGTTCATTGATATCATTTGTTAGATTGCACATAGAAGTGACATCATTGGTATTTTTTTCTCTCTTTCTGATTTACTTCACTTAGTATGATAATCTCTAGGTCCATCCCTGCTCCTGCAAATAGCATTACTTCATTCTTTTTCATGGCTGAGTAGTATTCCACTGCATATTTGTACCACAGCTTCTATATCCATTCACCTGTTGGTAGACATTTGCGTTGTTTCTCTGTTTTCGCTACTATAAGTAGCACTGCTGTGAACATTAGGGTGCAGGTGTCTTTCCAAATTACAGTTTTTCCAGATACATGCCCAGGAGAGGGAATGCTGGATCACCATGGTATCAGTTGCCTCTTTCTTGAAGTGCCAGTCTGAACTACACATGAAATTGAAGGTGTGCTTCTGGCATAGCTTTCCATAAAAGCAAGGCAAGATTTTTCTAGTGCTTCTCTCTGTGCTGCCCGTGCTGAGAGTGTTTACCCTGCAGCATTAGGAACAATCTGCATTTTTCATCCTCAGCACACACAGGCAGATCGCTTCCTGAGCTGCAGTCAACAACCAACATTCCAAATTGCGCCATTTCACCACTCTACTCTGGATGCATGGTGTGTGCCAAACTCACTTTGGAACAATATGTTGCTTTCCTGCTCATTTGCCCATGACTCCTGGGAGTTTCCCATTATCCATCCTCGAGAGCTTGACTTTTCACTTCTTAGATACCCAAGGGCTGTCACTGACTGTTCATGAGCCAAACTGCCCCAACTAGGGAAGATTTCTAATGAGAACAGCTCTGACAATCTCCATTTGGGATGTACCAACTTCTCCCAACTTTTTGATCCCTGCGTCAATGCTAAGTCTTTTTTCACAACAAAATAAAGACCCTGATCCTAAGGTGACTTTGTTCAAGTGATAGTGTTTGGTGTGGAATGTTGTCAAAGGCCTTTAGAAAAATCTTTCTCTTTCCACCCCTTTTCTTCATCCTGTTATATCTGCTGAAAATGTTCTTTAAAACTATCCCTTTGTGTTTAACTTTTCGTACCTCTCCGTAGCCAAGTCCATCATCTCCATTCACTAAACTCCTTAAAGGTTTATCCAATGACAGGGCTGAGCAAGATCTGAATTCATCTGGTTTTGGCATGCTTCCCACGGTCTATATTTCTGCCTACCCCCGATTCCTTCCTTGTAACAGGGGTCACATCTGCAATCTGGCATAGTAGCTTACATACCAATAAATCCCAGTGGCCTAATTTCACCCTCGAGTTCCTGCAAAACTCTCATTGAGTCGCCCTCCACTTGGTGATTTATCCAGATTTATTATGTCAATTTGGCAAAATAGCGCTGATACAGCTACCATTGGATATAATAGCATCCATCTTGCATTTTCAGGGACAATACAAGACTGGTATCTCCCTAGGATCTTATTCATTAAAAGCTAAGGTTTAAGAATTCACCCATGAGCTACCATCACTTCATACTCTGGAGAGCTCTCTGCTCCAGCATCATCTGTAGTCTATCCTCTTTCTTGAGTTAAATTGTTCTCTCTGATTTGAAAGAAACTTGTACTTGCTCTTGAAGTCTTGTATAGAATACTCCTAAATCTCTCTGCATTTTGAAGACCACTTTATCACTCTATTATGTCTGTTCTTCACACTTTGTAGACTCCCCAGTTATTTCTTGAACCATATTTCAGCTTAGGAAAAGAAGCTGATTACTTCCTAAAATAAAATTGTTGATACTTCCAGGTATCCATGCAATTGGGAATGCAGGGGACATGGAATAATTTTGAATGAGGTGGTTTTTACAAAATCATTGCATTTTTGTCATAGCTACCAGCTCTAAAATTACTGAACAACTTAATGAGTGGCCGATCAAAATTCTAGGACAATTATTGTAATGATTAATAGTCATTAATTAATATAAGACATTTATTGTTCTTTAACACAATGTGAGACAAAGTGTGAGGCACTGGGAATTCAGCTAATTGAGGGAACATGATTTATGCCCCCAAGGATCCCACAGTGTGGAGTCGAATCAAACGTGGACTTGTAAATAAATAAATCAAGGTCACTCAGTGATAGGTGAGTGACAGGTACCCAATAATAAATAGGTAACCTGCTCTGACACTGTGAAAGACGGCCCATCCCTGTGTCTCTCCACGAGGCTCATCCTGGCCTGTGTCCTTTGCAATAAAACTGTAATGGCAAAAAAGAAGGAGTGAAGGGGAGAGAGAGAGCTTCCACCTCCAGGGGAAGAACTGTTTTTGGAGCAGAGTGAACAGTGATACTGAGCTGAGACTTCATGGATGGGTGGGAGAGCCCTGGGCAGACCCTGGTGGGGGGAACAGGGGCATTAAACAGGGACCGTGGTGTAGAATGAACGGAATGGTAGCAGATGAGACTGGAGAAAACAGACAAGGCTAGAACTATCCTCTGTGGGCAAATGAAGGCAACGTGGTTTTAAATAATGAAATACTGTGGGTCCCAAGGGGTTTGGTTCTAGGACCCCCTACTGACACCAAAATCTGGGATTTCTAAATCTCTTACAGACATCCTCTGTATCCACCTGCGGGTGGTTAAATCCATGGATGTAGAACCTCGAAGAGAAAACTCTGACTGTAGTATGGTCAGATCTGTCATATGAGTGTGCAGGCAGAGAGATAATTGAAGAAGTTATTACCATGTTAAAGGAAGAGCTAATAGAAGCATGGCAGTCAGGAGGGAAAGAAGGAAGTGGGTTTAACATACAGTGAAGTGCGTATATCTGAGTCCCTCAAACATTTATTTGAGTGGTACTGAATTGAGGAAGAGCAAAAAGTCAAGGGTGACCTTTTCCCCAGAATTCATTTCTAGGTAATTAGGTACATGGTGATGCTGACAACCGAAAAGAGAGGCTGTAAGAGGAAGCACAAGTTAATAGTTAAGTTGATTGGAGTATTATGGGAAGGTTCTGAAAAGATGGTGAGTTCTACTTTGAATGGAGGGGTATCAAGTGAAGATTTCCAATATGTAATTATGTAAGTCTGGTGCTTAGGCTTAGAGATATAAATAGGAGAGTCACTAGCATAGGATTGGGTCAGTTTTGCATTCTGGCTAGCTGTTGTTTCAGGTACTACACTAAGAATGACAGCAACAAAGATGAATAACAGATGAATAACAAATGATCCCTTTCTGGAGCCTAGCAAAGAACAAGGACACAATCATTTATTATGTCTTATTCTTCTAATATGTCAGATATGTGAGTCTTATTCATATAAATTATTTTTTCTATATGCTAAACCCTTGTCAATACATACTTTATTAGTTTAATTAACTCTTTTGATCATTCTTAACACCAGCAACTACCACACTTTTTGGTTCCAAGGCTTTAAGAATAAAGTTTATTCCAGCTGGAAAAAAAAAATCATTTAGCTGAAATTTTCTACTTCTTACCCTATGTCCTTTATATCACATTTTGTTTAGGAGAAGTTAGTTTCACTTCTTGAATCCAGGAAGATTTGGTAGGAAACCTATTCAAAAGAGCTCTTGCTCTTGCCCCTTTGAAATATTAACTTCCTTTGAAAAGTAAATGTATCACATGAAGACAGTTGGCTTGTGGGTATAAAATGATGGACGAAAAAGAATGTTAATGAAAAGTCTCCATATTTACCCTAACAAAGTTCAGAAATTATCTGACACCCCCCCAAAAAAAGATTTTTCTGAAGTTTTGTTTAAATAAATTATAGAGATGGTGACAACATCGTGTATAAAATTATTTCATGAAAGCCAAAGTGAAAAGAATGCTCTGTAATTTTCATTCACAGTAAATGAATGGCTACCAGTCCATCCTTTGAGCAAATGCTATAGACAAAGAATAAATCTTTAAGTTAGATAGATTAGATTCTGCTATCTTTTGAATAAAGGAAATATCAAAGAGACAGTTTTTCAGAAGTGTGTGTTGAATTGTATTCATAACATTTCTTAAAGTGGATATGTTCACATAATACACACAACGCCAATGTCCTATGATTTCTGCACAACAGAAAATGTCAAACCAAGTTATTGTAAGTTCTTCAAATGACATCTCTCTCTATTTTTTTTTCTTTTATCATTAAACAGGGAAGGCCATGGTAAAATTTCAGTATTTGCTGTCAAAATGGCTTTAGCCACGTTGTGTGGAGGGAAGATCATGGACAAGTTAAGATGTAAGTTATTCTCTGCATCTCTCTTTGCTCACCCCTTCCATATGCCGCTTTTTTCTCTACCCGCTTCCTACCAGGTTCCCCTGACCATCCATGACTTTCCTCATCCTATGAGAGTTATTTGAAATATGATGTTCAATGTAACGAACTAATGTACAGAGGACTGAGCTTGTCCAAGTCTAGTGACTTCTTACTGTGGCCATGGCATGTGTAGGCAGTAGATTAGCAATGTGAGCAGCAGCATCTCTTTGGTGAAGGTGTGGGTCCTACCTGTAATACCTTAGCAGGTGTGATTGTTACTCTGGGGCACCCCAAAGGTGATCTGCATTATAATTCTATTGCCGTGGGCCAATGTCTGCAGTGACTAAAGGCACATATGGAAATGACTACTCGGATTCATTTTCCAGATGAGCAAGATCTCTTTCAGCAACTGTACCTGGTTACCTAGGGAAATGCAATTTTAATTCACGAGAGAAGGAGGATGGTCTTTAATATTATTAACCCTGCGTTTGAGCAGACTAAAGGGGGTTCAGCTTTGGAAAGAGCATAATTTGGAATCTGAACCACTTTCTTTTGGTTTTCTCTGCTGGTTCAATTGAACTGACTTATTCCTAGACATTAAGTCCCTGGAAATATTCAGGAAAAAAAAGAAAGAAAAGAAATGTAATGTTCATTACCTTTGGTTTTATCCTAAAAATATTTTCATCTTAGATAAATGTCAATGGAATGAATGTTCTCCTTCTAGGTACGGATTATTATTATTTACAACCTGTTAAGTATCACCAGTTAGACTGTTCATGACACCAAGGTAAAATATACATTCTCTCATGTTCATGGTACAAAACTGCCTCACAAGTTAAGTCCATCACCATAGGAGATGAAGGCCACATTAGGAAACCTTCTTTTTTCAGTCATCTCAAGCCAAAGTTCCCAGCACGTTTCCTCATTCTTCTCAGCCAGTGTTGTTCAAATCACTAGGCACTTGAACAGTTCGAAGGAAGATGTTGCCAGGGTGTAGGCAGAGGAATTACATGCAGAAACCATAGACTGCGAATGAACTGATGCCAATAGAGACATGACAGCTAAAGGGCATTGAGTGATTTGGGGCCTTTTGTGTACGTTTTGTCACTGAATGTGGTAGTTTTTTAACCATCAAAACAGTGGGAATTTTTTGCTTAGTTGGCATGTTTTAGGTAAAGAAGCTGAGACTTGGAGAGTTAATCACAGATGGTACCAGGAATTGAACCCTAACTTTTTTCCGTACATCGGTGGCTCTCTAAGTTCAGTATGTATGCAATCACCTGGCAGACTTTTAAAAAATAAATTTCTGGGTCTCATTCCCAGAGTTTCTGATTCAGTAGGCCTAAAGTGAATGGGGGTTAGGGCAAGAATTTTCGTTTCTAACTAATTTAAAATTCTGTATATGTGACTGTTTCAAAGAAAAATTACCATGTAACCTTTTCTCTTCCCCTAAGTATTTTGAGTCTGAGTTATAATGCCCTATGAGAAAACACACTCTCTTAGGAACTGGGAGCCTCAAGTTACAGGCCCAGCTTTGTGAATAATTCACTGAGTTATCCTGTGGAAATTATTGCTTCTTTAGTTCTCAGCTTCCTTCTCCATCCTAAATTTGGGGATTTTGTTGGATACCAGTTGGGTACCTACCCTACTGGCTGCAAGCATCTGGGACTCACAGAGCCTCTAGGCTTTTTTGTCAACCTGTTGTATGTCAGCTGCTGAATGTAAGCTCTTGCTTCTTGATGCACTGAGGAATAATAAAGACAAATACAGGAATAAAAACTTTTTTTCTTTGGCATTTCCCCAGAGATACCCCAAGAAGAGTTATGTCATTAAAGCAATGGATAAGGGGACAGTACACGGAAACCCCACGTAACCACGCATCTTCCCTCTCTCCCAGGAAACTTCTTTCATGGACCAGCCAAATGCTGTCAAGATTCAGAGAAGCCCAAGCAGACTCTCATAAGGCCCAGTTTAGATTACCTTCAGTTCACTTGAAAGATGTAAAAAATTAGAAAACCATCCCAGTGCTTGATTGAGGATAACCGCTCAGTCAGAAAGTGGCAGAAAAAAAAATCTCCTTTAAAAAAAAAAAAACTTTAAAAAAATAAAAAATTTAAAAAATAACAGCGTAATCCCTAAGACATTCACTTCAGGATTAGGCTGGGAAAAGAACATTTAGCAAAAGGAACCAGGGCAGAGGAAGAAACTCACAAGGGTCTTGCCTACTGACTTCATGTCACCATTGGCCACTTATGCTGAGAACAGTAGCAAAATTTTTTTCAAAGTCTTAAGAAACACTTCCAAATACTTATTCAATCTTAGGTATGTGGACAAAAGGATCTTTTAATAAAATAAGGAATCCAAAGCCAGTGCTCTGTGACAACCTAGAGGGGTGGGATGGAGGTTCCAGAGGGAAGGGATATATATATATATATATATATATATACCTAATGCCATTTCATGTTGATGTATGGCAAAAAAAAAAAAATAATCACAGTATTGTAAAGTAATTATCCTCTAATTTAAAAAATTAAATGAAAAAATAAGTTTGAGGAAAACTAAGAAACCAGGTTTCTATATTTCAGAACCCCTAAGAGCCTCTCATGAACCAGGTTGATTCTATACCATCAAGGACCCAAATGCCTTCCATGTTTCTGCTTGGCTGTCCTCTGTGTCAGATGTTATCCTTCTTCTGAGGGTAAAGCAGGGTACAACAGTTTCAGGAGTCACACCCACTCCAGAGGTCCCTGGCGCTTAAGTCTCATGGCCAGGGTGGCATCACAGACCACTTACTATATCACTTCCTAGCGAGGGGAAAGCAATGCCCATGATAGTCATGGAGTCTTCCAGTCATTCTGATCTCCTGGGCTGAGAAGGGTCTCTGCTGTCTCTTAGCCCAGGAAGAAATCTGGGGCCAATAAAGATGAAGGGAAAGGTTGTTACATCAGCAACAAACAACATTGGCACAATTACAAAACTCAGACGTTAACTAACTGTTTGAGCAGATATTTGCCGGTCGTTGAATCCCACAAAATTCTCTTGAAAGTCCAGGAATTCAAAACAAACAATATATTAATAACTGCTCCAGGGCTGTTTCCTCACTCTACCCCATCATTCACCAGATACCTACTGTCAGTGAGCAAAGCATGCATGCTCTCCAGTGGCCAAAGCCAATCCTCTGCAGCTTAGTGAAAGAAGTCACAGATGCATGATTGCCGTTGGAAGAAAGCTGTGCTCTCCAGTCTGCAAGAATAAGCTGCAGGGACATCTCCTGTAGTCCAGTGGCTAAGACTTAACTTCCAATGCAGGGGGTGTGAGCTCCGTCCCTGGTCAGAGAGCTAAGATCCCACATGCCCCCAGGACAAAAAACCAGAACATAAGCAGCAGAAGCAACATTGTAACAAATCCAATAAAGCCTTATAAAAATGGTCCCAATCAAAAAGAAAAAATGAAAGAAAGAAGCTGCAGAGTGTCACAAATTCTGTAGAAAAACAGATTGTGTGATCACAACATATCACGTTGCCTTCCCCCCAGACCTGAATCACTGAGTGTGGTGTCCCTGTTCTCTGACTGAGGAGTCACTCTTTGAATAGTTAATCCCATGAAGGTAGTTTTAATGGTTCCCAGCTAAGTCAGTTGAAAGCAATTTGACCAAAAGCAATTTAGCTAAAAGCAATTTGGCTGGTAGAACCTCTCCAAAATTTGTATTAATAAAAAGTGAATGTCCTTAGTCACCTTAGATAACCATTGACTGAATGAGGAAATATGGGCAATTCCACCCACAGACAGCCATGGCTGACTTGGTGAGCAGAATCAAGGATTTTCTTTAGTCTCCTTTTGCTGGCTTCCATTTAGTCATAAAACAGGCAGGGTAATAATGTAATAAGCATTGCTTTATATAATAAGAAAATAAAATGAAAGGATATGGAATGTCTCAGAATTTGAGAGATTTATTTTTCCTTCTTTAAATTCTAATTCCCTTTAAGCCAGTATGACAACTGTGCTAGTCGGGTAGTTTTTCTGTTTTTGTCCACAGGGATGAGAAAGATTTAGTCCATGCCAACTAGCCCCTTCATTTGGGGAACACGGGGCAAGAGTAATTGGCTGAAAATAATTTAGAAATTTTAAAAAGCAAAAAAGCAGAAAACAGCAGAAAATTTGAAGCTGAGTTTTAAATGTTGCTTTAAATGCATTAAAAGGGACAAGAACCCCCCACGTTGTACCCCAGTTTCCAATACTCAGGGCCACCAGGAGCCAATATACAGGGTGTTCTTCAGGTACCCTCAGGCAGCAGAGCGTGTGAGGGCGCCCCCTGCAGGCGTGGGACACAGAGCCCTATACGTAAACTGACCTAATGTAATATACTCCTTTCCTGTCAAAATATCTTTGATCTGATTATCGCTGTTAAGGATCTTAAAGATTTCTTAATCCAGTGGCATGAGCCTGGAATGTCAGGTGCTGTTCTAAAGCTTCTAAAGAGGACTTGTTTTATTTAAAAACTATCATTATGGCAAACACCTTGTATTTCCTGAGTTTCTATTAATGAATAGGTTGTTCTGCCTCCAAGCCTATCCCCAGGGTAATATTTCTAACCCATTGGGCTGCCTTTAATTCTTCAGGATCTTTCTCATCACTCATTGTCCTGTACACTTGGCCTGCAAGTCCCCTTGGTAAGGAAATCTTCCCTGCCTCCCTCCTCCCTCTGGGAACCCCGTCTCTGAGCTCCTGTCACACCCGTACACCCCACTGTTCCTCTGCTCACACCACCTTGTTACCACGTGTGATGTCGCTTCACCCATGATGTAAGCACGTCTCTGTCATCCCCATTAGACCAGGACCTCCCAGGGGCAAGAGCTAAGTCCTGATTTCCCTGTGTATCCATGGCTTAGCACAATTTCACATGTTTATTATGTGCCAAGTTAATTTTAGTTTAATAAATCCACGAATGTAAGTTCTTCTAAAGTAACATTGTGTGGAGCTGTAGGAAACACACAGGTAATTTAAAATATGATTTGGAACCTTATAGAACAATCCTAGTGGGGAGGCAGCATCTAAACATACAAGGTGAGTGGCAGAAAAGTGTGATATGAAATCAATAAGAAAAAGATATAACATTTCTGTACTGTATACTAGGTGCCAAGCATACACAGTTGCTTTTCATCTAGTAACTGGTTTAATCCTTGAAATAGCCCTCTATATTGTATAGCTATATGTATATTTCATGTCATAAGCATATTATATGTATCTGCATACATATGTATATATATATATGGAGAGAGACACAGAGGTCTCCAAATTAAGGTACAAACACCTACCATATTGTGCCCCCTCATTTCTTTTTAAAAACCTGACTGGCCATTAACAGCCACTTCACTTTAGTCCCAGTGAATAGCCCTAGTTTGGCTATTACTTAGTAGAATTTCTTCAGTACAAATGAGTTTAATATTAGCTTCACATTTGTGAAAGGTCACTGTTGGTGCCCTTCAAGTTTTACTGTAGTTAGAGATGTTTAAATTATTTCAGTGTGGATTTGAAAAGCCTAACCTCCTTTTAAAAAATGTGCCCCTGCTCACTGCAACTAGAGAAAAGCCCGCACAGCAACAAAGACCTAGCACAGCCAGAAATAAAAATAAATAAATAAATATTTTTAAAAAAAATGTGCCCTGGCCTAGAAATTCCAGGTCTAGAAGATCATCAGGATGACAAGATTATAATTAGCCAAATTGTCCCCAAATAAACAAGATGGCAGTTCTAATATGAAAGTACATTTACTTCTTCAAGGCTTCTTTTTCCTCCTTTGGATTGGAATTTTTGAGTTTCTATCTTTGCAATTACATAAAAGGGTTTTGGTTTTGTTTTGTTACTTTTTTTTTTTCTGTTGGCAACTTCTTTTTTGGGCTAGTTATAATGAAGCATGAGATGAAATTCACTATAACAACATTGTGAAAATAAGTGAGAACATCATTAATTTTTGTTGCTCATGTAGAATATCTGTAGCTTTATAACTGATTAACTATTGGAAACACAATAGAAATCATTTGTAAGTGGAGTATTTTTAAAAAAAGAGAGCCAGTTCACGTCCTCAAAACATAATCCAATAAAAGCCTGTAATATGCTGAACATCTGACTGGGGTGTGAAACAATGTCCCCAGATTACATTTTGACCTTGGAAAATTAAGTCCAAAATGAACAGAGGTAGCATGTTGACTTTATAACAGTTTATCCCAGCAGCTGTGCTGGCCTCGTTGCAATCCAGCACGGCGACACACCATATAATAGCCAACCCTTTTCTTCCAATAGTGATTTCCACAGAGGAATTACAGAGTACTTTGGGAAATTATGCCATGAATATTCATTAAGTGCACTTAGTGGCAAAAACTGAAGAAAAGAGTTCCAATAAAGCTAGTGGCTCTGCGGAGAAGAATCTGGATCCCTGACTTTACCTCACTGAACATCGGCAAGGCCAGGCTTCCTCTTGACTGCATGAGCCTAAAGACCCTTCCCTGTAAATCAATTGCCTTCCAGCCAGAACACTGTGATTTATAGGAAGTTTTCTACTTCTGTGAGAAATTAATCAAGTGTTTTCATTGCATCCTTATCCCTATATGTCTTTCATTTTTCCGTATCTTAAACCAAAACCCAAAAGTTTTGGTGACACTATGCCAGGCTCCTCTGTCCATGGGATTCTCCAGGCAATAATACTGGAGTGGGCTGCCGTTCAGCATTACTGTCTGGAGAATCCCATGGACAGAGGAGACTGATGGGCTACAGTCCACGGGGTTGCAAACAGCTGGACATGACTAAGCAAACTAACACTTTCATAGACAGGTAAATAGCTACCTTGCTACATATGCACAAACCCTCACATTATAGTAAAATTTTCATTATGTATTTCAAAAGAAGTCAGCATATTTCTCACACATACAAAATTTCTCCCATTGAGTATGTGTATGAGTTGATAATTGACCTCAAACTAAAAATGAGATGTTCTCTGTCCTATCAAAATATGCTAATTTTATCCAAATTGCTAGTTAATGCTATGTGCCAAAATCATTTACAAAAAGATACCAGAGAAAACACCATGCCAAGAATAGCTCAGCATAAAAATTAGCTTTTGTATTATTCTTTCATAATAAAGTCTATGTTTAATTTCTGCCACATTTTTTGTTATCTGCAGTAGATATGTTGAGCTAAAACAGTGGGAAATCTTTATGTGATGAATAAATATCTTTCCTTTTCCATCCATCAGATATTTTCTCAATGATTTCTGACTCCAGCGGGGTGATGGTTTATGGACGATACGATCAGTTCCTACGGGAAGTTCTCAAGCTACCCACGGCAGTTTTCGAAGGTCCTTCATTCGGTTACACAGAACAGTCAGCGAGATCCTGTTTCTCTCAACAGGTAGCAATCAACTTGTTTAAGGGAGTATCTCTCAGCGGGTGCTGTCTCGTGTGTCACTCCAAGTCTCTATTTCTTCATCATAACCTGTAGTGTGTCTTCCAGCTTCTGACAAATGACTTCTGAGTCAGTAACTGAGTGCATTGCAGCACATCTGGGTAATAATAGGTGGTGCTTCCTGACCTTGAGCCAGCATCAGGCAGAACTCTTTATTTGCACTGTCTAATTTAATCTCTACTAACAACCCTATGGCACCCCACTCCAGTACTCTTGCCTGGAAAATCCCGTGGACGGAGGGGCCTGATAGGCTGCAGTCCATGGGGTTGCTGAGTCGGATACGACTGAGCGACTTCACTTTCACTTTTCACTTTCATGCATTGGAGAAGGCAATGGCAACCCACTCCAGTGTTCTTGCCTGGAGAATCCCAGGGACGGGGGAGCCTGGTGGGCTGCTGTCTATGGGGTTGCACAGAGTAGGACATGACTGAAGTGACTTAGCAGCAACAACCCTATGAGCTTCCTTTGTGGCTCAGCAGTAAAGAACTGGCCTGCCAGTGCAGGAGACATGGGTTCAATCCCTGGGTCAGCAAGATCCCTCGGAGAGGGAAATGGCAACCCACTCCAGTATTCTTGCCTGGGAAATCCCATGGACTTCTATGAGAGCCTAGTGGGCTACAGTCCATGGGGTCGCAGAGTCAGGCACAGTGTAGCGACTAAACAACACCAACCCTAACCCTCCGAATCATTTGTTATGACCATGTTATCTAAAGTGCTGAATTGTCACTCAGCCTCACATAAAACCCAAGTCTGACCCAGCACTAAGTTTCATCAGTGTTTAGCAAAGGAGACAAAAAGGAATCTCAGCACATGCCCTGTGGGATCTGGGAGGCCCTCAGTCATCCACCAAGTTGGGGTTCAGAGCCACATGTCTTAACTGGGCATGGAGCAAGTCAGCTGAAGGAAGCTGCGTAGTTTGGAGGGCTATCCATGTCTATGTCTGTCCATTCTTGTAGAAAATCTACATGTCTAGAACTATTCTCCAGCACGCATGGTAGAAGTTTAGAAATCCATAAACTGAAGGTTTGTTTACAATTTTTAAAAATCCAGACTCACCAAGTATGTGACATACTTGGCCCTTTACATAAGCAAACAGTGCCTAGCAGCCACTAAACAGCTGCATTTACTGTCCAGCTAGAAAACCTCAGCTCTCTTTACTTGATGATCTAAGAGGTCAGAAATGCCTCAGGCACCCCTGTAGGTCAAGGATGTATATAGAGTCATCAATGTATCCATATACTCAAGAAGAGAAGGGATAGTTTGATACGCTAAGTATCAACTCTACTCCCCGAGAACCTCACTCAAGAAGCCTTGCTGACCTTTCCCATGCCCCCACCCCCAGGCTGGCATAGCTACCCGATCTCTGTCCCCAACTAAGCATGCTCCTCTGTATTTCCCTTTCAAGCTGGTGACATCAGAATGGATCCATTCACCTATACAGCTCCTTCACACAGAACGTCTCATTGATCACTAAGTCCTGCTAGTTTCACCTCTAATTGTCTCAGGTCTCTTTCCTCATCATCCTTGATTGCCTGGCCTCTTGCATTAAACCCCAGGCTAAACTCTCCTTCCCAGGATTTACTTGTTTGTTTGTACATTTGTTGATTTTAGCGCATTATAGAAGCCTCAGGAAATATGCTAATGCCTTGGAGTATTTATTTCTCATTAAAGTCAGCCACAATAATAGGACTTGTTAAATCTAATAGGATTTTATATATTCAAGAAGAATTATATAGGTGTTGCCATTGATCAAAGTGAAGTATCCTAGATATTTTTCATTATATAATCTTTTACACACCCTCAATGATGAGAAATTTTTATATGTTGAAATCATAGTGTCTTTGTTTTACTTCCAGGAGTGATTTTAAGCGAGTACAATGAAAGGTCAAAATGGATAAAACCATGTGAAGTAGAAATAGAGGCAACATAAATAAATAATAAGACCAGTTTGTTTTTGTGCTTCATAAGCTGGCTATAGCAGCAGCTTGAATGATGAAATTCCAAAATTGTTTTAATTGCTTCGTTGGAAAGTCACCCCAAGTGATTGTTTTAAAACACAGTATTATTTTAGACATATGAATTGTAGTAGCTTTTTAAAAAGTACGGTCTCATTACTTATTCTTTATATCATTTCTCTTTTAATAATAATGCTAGGGATATTCCTGGAGGTCCAGTGGTTGAGATTTCACCTCCCACTGCATGGTGTGCGGGTTTGATCCCTGGTCGGGAGCTAAGATCACACATGCCTTGTGGCCAAAAAACCAAAACATGAAACAGAAGCAATATTGTAACAAATTCAATAAAGCCTTTAAAAACTAAAATTATTAACAATAATAATGTGAACAGCCATCCTGTAAAAGCTTAAGTTATTTAGTATGATGAGGTGTGTGTATGCGTAGTCGCGTCAGTCGTGTCCGACTCTTTGCAACCCTTTGAACTGGAGCCCACCAGGCTCCTCTGTCCATGGGATTCTCCAGGCAGGAATGCTGGAGTGGGTTGCCACACCCTCCTCCAGGGAATGTTCCCGACCCAGTGATGGAACCCACATTTCCTGTGTCTCCTGCATTGCAGGAGGATTCTTTACTCACTGAGCTATTAGTGAAGCCCAGTATTATGAGGTAAATAACTAAATATATCTACCAATAAAAAAAAAATTAACAAAAGGATACAAAAACAGCTATTTTGTAAATTACAAGGACAAGTGTAAGATTTAAGCCTTGAAAAGTTACTATAGCTCTTCAGGGCTGATTTCTTACCTAAAAAATATAAAGCTATCCCAGCTACCTTGCTATTCTAATTCAGATTTTTAAGTAAACTAGTGATTTTGCTTGTAAATTTTTTGTCACTTATACTACTGAAATCTCATGTATTAGCAGAACTTCTTTGGAGAAGGAAATGGCAACCCACTCCAGTATTCTTGCCTGGAGAATCCCATAGACAGAGGAGCCTGGCAGGGAACAGTCCATGGGGTTGCAAAGAGCCGGACACGACTGAGCAACTGAAGCACAACAAGTTTTACAAAGCTGTTTGTCCCTGGACTCCAAAGCAACTTTCCCTGCCAGAAGTCCTGAAACATCCTGTGAAATTTAGTGATTCTAGACCTGAAGCAATCAAGGAGTCTTCTTTTTTTTTTTTTGCCCTCCCCATCCCCACAAAATAGAACTTCTTTTGTCATTTTGAAAGAAACCTATAGATAAAATACATTTGTTTTCTACATCAGAAAAGTCCAAGATAATGACCCAGAGGCTGACTGAATTGTGATAAAATATATATAAAAAGAAAGGAGAGAAGAGATTTTTTTTTTTCCTTTAGACTCTTCTAACAGGGAGGGAAAGATCCCTCCAGACAGGATTCATTCCTCATCTTGTATAGCAGAACCATTCACACGACCACAAAATACTTGGTTTTTATGGAAGTTGAAGAAGTTAGCTGTTCTACACAGTTAGAAGACTGACTGATTCGGGAATTTTAGAGCCTGCTATGATGTATTATTGGGTAAAATTTTATGGAGGATGCCTACTCCAGTTTTGCTCATCATTTGCAACCTGTCCCTTGTGTATGAAAAATGACCCTCTCAGAATTGTTTTCCTCCTGGTGATAATATTAACTCAGCCTCAGTAGAGATAATCCAGTCCTGTGTAGGCTCAAGTATGAAAAGCAATTAATGTTTTAAATTCAGAACTAGTTTCAAGCTCTGTCTTTTTTTGTGTACGAGGGGTTAATTGAATGTCTTGTTTCTTCCATCTCAAATGATATTTACATAGCAGGTAAGTTAAGATTATTCTTGGTTCTAAATTTTTGTGGGGTTTTTTTGATGCAGAAAAAAGTCACCTTAAATAGTTTCTTGGACACGCTCATGTCAGATCCTCCCCCTCAATGCCTGGTCTGGCTGCCCCTTCTGCATCGACTGGCAAATGTAGAAAACGGTGAGTACTTAATACTGAGCCAAGGCAATTTGTTTAACCCTTCTTTTAACTTGAAGTAACATAATTGATTTACAATGTTGTGTTAGTTTCATATGTATAGCAAAGTGATTCAGGTGTATATACATATATATGTGTGTGTGTGTGTGTGTGTGTGTGTGTGTGTGTGTGTGTATTGTTTTCATATTCTTTTCCCTTGTAGATTGTTACAAAATGTTGGGTATGGTCCCCTGTGCTATATGTAGGTCCATGTCAATTATCTGTTTTATATATAGGAGTGTATATATGTTAATCCCAAAGTCCTAAGGCAATTATTGAAATTAGGCTATCAAGTCTATAGTTAGTAAGCCAACATCATTGTTTTAGGAGATCTGTCTAGTAGTTCCGATTTTTAATAGAACTGACTTCTCTCCCTGATCAGTAAAGCCCTATCAGCACACTGCAAAATTAGGATGGTTCATTCTAAAAACTTATTAAATATCACAATCTACCTCCCAGTTACAAGTAAGATGTGGCTTTAAAACTTACTATAACTGAAGAAGAACCTCACTAAGGAATGTGACATTTTCTAGCATTTGTTTTAGGTATGAACTTCCACTGTTGGCATACCTAGCATTGACTCTTTCTTCCTAAGCACTTGAACATGAATAGGTGGAGGAGATGGGGGAAAATACTGGATGGTAGCATCTTGCTAATCTTTAGTCATGTACTCCAAATTGTAAGCTCCCAATGGCTGTAGTTACGTAAAAGAAATGAGTAATGTAACTTTTGTCATGTACTTTTATTTTATAAAAGCAAGTAGTTCTATGATAAAAGTAATTACTATTGACATATCCAAATTTCAATACGAAATACAGTTCAGAACAAGGTTTAAAGAAATTTAAACAGGGAACAATTCAATGCCTCCATCTGCTCTTTAGATATTCTTATTTATTGTTTAATTTAACTCTGGGAATTTTCAGCCTTAAATAGAAAATAATTTATCCCCTATAGCTTACTAGAATCTTCTACACGTTTCTTTAATATACATTGGGGTTAAAGTTAGCTTAATTTTAAATTCCCATTTAGAACACTTGGTGTTTGCGCTTATTATCTCTCTTAGTTAAAGTTATAAATTTATTCTGTTTTGCTCATGGAAAAGATTTAAAGAAAGATCTCACTAGATTCTCTGTAATCACTACCAATCATTGTTTTTTTTTTTTTTTATGCTTCATATTCATCTGCTAAAGCAGTCAAGATCCAAATCATGTGGGGTGAATTCATATTACTGTTTGCAGTCTGAGAACTAGCCATTCTCCAATTATAAAGTTGTAATTTCATGCCTCCTCTCAGTATTTCCTGTTGCAGGAAATGAGTTCTTTAGACCATGTCCCAGAAGAGTTGCCCCTGGATTCAGGTCTTTCCCAAGAGCCAGAAAAGGAGGATATAATACTAGTTCAGAAGACAGTGTGTTCAAAATTTGGTTATGTCTTTGTTTCTACAATTTACTTTTCATTTTTATTTATTTATTTTTTTCATTGTTTTCCCTAGCTGGTTAGCCAGAGAGTAACTTCGCCAAAGGCAAGAATTGTTCTTGTTGTTGTTAGTATCTTTAACTCATAACATGCAATTACTTGGATCTGATCATTTGTTAGCTTCGAATTGCATACCTTGCCTGCTTTGTAACTCAAATTTCCTACCAGAAAGTGTCTCTTGAACTATCTGACTTAGAACTGTATTCAGATAATTTGTCCATCTCTTTGGGCCCCTATTGATCTGCCCCTCAGAAAATTTTTTAAAAATCTGTTTATTAAATGAAGACAATGTCACTCATTAAATAAGCCCATTAGCTACTCTATTTTTTAAAAAATAATTGAGTATTCTCATCTTCCAGTTTTTCTACTCTCCTCCCATTTCCTTTCTTTTTTCTTCCTCTTGTTTTCCATTTCTCTATTATTTGCTCTCTACCCAGAACCCATCTGTGTTCATCTATTGAGCTTCTGAGTTTTCAATGAGCTGTGCCGGTCTCCTGGAGACAGAGAGCATCTGGGGGGAAAGGCAAGCCAGTTTGGGTAATTTACATTCTTGTAGGGTAAGGGATGGGAGTAAGAAGAGTAAACAGTATTACAGAGATGTGCTGTTAAACGAACCCCTCTCCTCCAGCCCACTTTATTTCTCCCACCCCCACACACATGCCGGAAAAGGGTCGTGAGAGTCTAGGAATAAACTTAGTACTTCTCTCAGACCAAACTATCATCGGAAATCATATTATCCAGCAGAAAAATGCAATTCTTCTTGGGCTGTATTTTTCGTTCTTCTGACTCATCCTCTTGTTTCCTTGTCTTTTTCTTCATTTACTTGCCCGCCAGTCTTCCACCCGGTCGAGTGTTCGTATTGCCACAGTGAGAGTATGTTGGGCTTTCGCTATCGATGCCAACAGTGTCACAATTACCAGCTCTGTCAAGACTGCTTCTGGAGGGGACATGCTGGTGGTTCCCATAGCAACCAGCACCAAATGAAAGAGTACACGTCCTGGGTAAGTTGGATGTGTGAGTGTCGTCCAGAACACAAGGGAACAGCCAGAGAACCAGGGGGCACACTTACCTTCTACTCTCACACTCCTTCCTTCCCCACCCACTGCTCCTCTTACGGGGTTACTTGTTGAGTCTGAACCCAGTATAGCTTCCTAAGACAACATATAAGAACACTCCAATGATATTACTTCTTGGAATGCAGATAACTCAATATTGATTTAGGTGACAGCCTTCTGGAGCATAATCTCCTTTTCACAGTAAGTGAAGGTTCCTTCCAATTTGGGGCAGGGTTGTGGGCATTGCCTAAAAATTATTGTTAGTTCCTTTTTTCTTAGAGTCTGGAGTTCTTTAAGGGCATGACTGGAATGTGAAGGAAAGACATGAGAGCATGTGGGTTTAATGATGCTGTATCAGTTTATTTTGGGGGGAAGGAGGGGAAGATTGTGGTTATATTAGAAAATCGTCTTTTCATGAATAGTGCACGTGACTAGCTTGCTGGAGGGGGTATGTGATACTAACCTGTCCTTGTGATGAAAGTGTTCTGACACTTAGCATGATAATCTCCAGGTTCATCCATGTTGCTGCAAATGGCACTTTGTTCTTTTTTTATGGCTGAGTACTAAGAATGTACATTATAAATCAGAATGTTCTTTCAAGGAATCATTATTAGGAACTGATATTTAGTGCAAATATATTAATTGTTTAGCACATGTCGAAGTCTGAGTTCAAATAAGAATTCTTCACTAAGGCATTGTATACTGAGGATTTATTCCAGTTCAAATGCCACCTGTTACTATTGGCTACGTCACATGCTGAGAACTGATAGGCTAGCGCAGATCACGAAATACAATTTAGTATAGAAGGTAGGAGAAAATTTTCTTATTGTCAGCACATTAGCAGTTTTCAAATGTTGTTGTTGTTTAGTCACTAAGTCGTATCTAACTCTCTTGTGATCCCCTGGACGGTAGCCCACCGGGCTCCTCTGTCCCTGGGGTTCTCCAGGCAAGAACACTGGAGTGGGTTGCCATTTCCTTCTCCAGGGGATCTTCCCAGACCAGAGATCGAACCCGCATCTCCTGCACTGCAGGCAGATTCTTCACCACTGAGCCGCCTGTGAGAGCCAGTGTGTTCTATCTCAAATCCTCGAGGGCTGGTGTCTGAAGACTCACCATTTTTTAATTGTTGTTTTGTGTAAACACTGACGTTAAATCAAGAGGCTTTTCCTTAGAAGTTCTGGACTCTGCAGTTATACGATAGGACAGTGTCTTTAGAGTAGAACAGAACTCCTCGCGAGGACAAAGGGGCTCCAGTGTTTATGGGGGGAAGAGCTGTTGCTACTGCTGATCCAGGTGTTCTAAGAATTCCGTCTCCTGGCCAAAGTCAAAGAGGGATTTTGTGGACAGTGCTCCGTGACTTGGCTTTTAAATAATGAGGACGAGAGTCACTTCCTTATATTGCCAGTTGTGCACTCTGAATGTCAAAGAAAGTGACAAAATTATAAATCTCTTCTCACTGAAAGGAAAAATTGGCATAAAGATTTATTATATGTGGTGGGCTATTTTTGATCATCTTGGCTGTGAAATATTAAACATTCCACAGGGCTAAATGAAAATGAGATAGCATGTCCTCTGGAAAGAACATGAACTTTAAATTCTGGAGACCCAGGCTGAAGTTCTGCTCTTCCTTCTCACTGGATGTATCCAGCCGCACCTGAAAATCTTGCTTCTGGATTCCTGCAAAACCTCCCGCTCCTCTCCTGCCTTCCAGTCCCATCCCTCTCAAACCATTTTTTGTCCTTAAGGAGAAGCAATCCTTCTAGAATCAGGTCATCTCTGAGATTGAAGCTGTTCATTGCCTCCCTCCTCACCTGAGATAAAGACCACAGTAGAAAGGACTGTGTAGTATAAAGGTCTTCAGTGGTCTGCCTCCTGCTTTCCCTCTCCAGAACTAGGTCTCCTGGCCCTCCTCCATCTGGATACCTTCCAGTCCTCTGAATTTGGTCAGAAGGACTCCTGCTGTTCATTAAATCCCGACTCGGATGTTCTAACCCCAAGGACTGCTTCCATTTCTCACAGCATTTGCTGACAGTGTGCAGCCAGCGGCGGGTATCCTGGTGGCTAATTCCAAGCATTCTGGTCCCCGCAATGAGCCAACTCCTTGACTTGGAGTAAATTCTCAAAGAAGAGTCCGTGAATTAATAAATGAATATATATCATGGAAGGGCTTCCAGGTGGCACTAGTGGTAAAGATCACCCGCCTGCCAGGGCAAGAGATATAAGAGACTTGGGTTTGATCCCTGGGTTGGGAAGATCCCCTGGAGGAGGTCATGGCAACCTACTCCAGTATTCCTGCCTAGAGAATCCCAAGGACAGAGGAGCCTGGTGGGCTAGAGTCCATGGGGTCGCAAAGAGTCAGACAGAACTAAAGCGGCTTAGCACACAGCATAGTATGAAAGCAAATCATCTGATAAAATGTTACATAAGTGTTGATTGTTAACACTTGAACCTTTGTTCTTCCTTCCAGAAATCACCTGCTAAGAAGCTAACCAATGCATTAAGCAAGTCTCTGAGCTGTGCTTCCAGCCGTGAGCCCTTGCACCCCATGTTCCCTGACCAGCCTGAGAAACCACTCAACTTGGCTCACATCGTGTGAGTATCTGCCCTCCACACTGAGAGACACGTGTGCAGATCCATACAAAGACAATTTCCTATCAGTTGTCAGGGACCGAGTTTTAAATTTTATTTTCTTAAAGAAAGAATGAAAGTCAGGTGATTATATATATATATTCTTTTTTTTCATGGAGGGGTATACAATACTTCTGCCCAGAAGTACAAGAATACAGCACCATATAATTCACCTCAAAGTGGAAAATATTCAAAAATTTTACAGTTACACAGATGTTAGTGGAGTTTACACAGCTGGCCAATAGTAAAGCAGCTGTACCTTAACATCATGTGTGCTTTGAGTCTCTAATCCAGAAACCCACTGTCTCCTTTCTCTGCAGAGCCAGTTATCTTAAAGATGCCAGGAAACATGGAAATTATTGCTGTGGTTATTGTTTTCTTCCAAGTTACATAGCTTTAGAAGAATCATGGCCTGTGCAGGGGAGGGTTGAAGAGGAGGGATTGATGGGGAAATTCAACAGACGATCCAAAAACGGACTTAAAAAAATTTCTCTAAAGCGTGTGTGAGTTTGAGTGGCAGAGAGAATAGGGTCAAGGAATGGTGCTACCACTCACATCTTCCCAAAAGCCCCTCACCCTCGGGCCCTCTCTCAGGCCTGGGTGGCTCAGAAAACAGGAGGTTCAGGCAGAAGAAAGTATTTCTTCCTTGGTGATATCTTGGGCTCAGAAGAAGAAAGAAGTTCATTAGCTATTTTAGGGCTACAGTTAGGAATTGTGTAGTGGGATTGTGTAGTCACAGGGGCCTCAGGAAGCCTCTGGAACAGGCGGTTCCTCTCCTGAACTGAATTTTGTTTTGTGCAGTTTAGCACAACCTCTTGTACCATCGAGAGGTGGGCTGAGGAGACCTCTGAATGTTAGGAATCCACCAAGACGAGGTCATTGCTTCAGGTGACTGAGAGCATGACCCCTTAGAGGCATTGTGGTGGACCGCAGAGCCTTAGGAAGGCAGTGACTCTTTCCCCGATGGACCTAAACAGATCCTAACAAACAACTGTGCTGAGTATGTCTGCGGAATTTGTATAAATCCCATGGGCTTTGTTTGGTTTACTTCTGTGTGCACGCTGAGGATTCGTTGTCCCCAGCAATCCGCACAGTCTGGAAGCATCCAAAAACTAACGTAAACTGATTCTGTAGAATGTGGTTGACTTATTTTGGGAAATTTTGCTCCTAAAATAAGCCTTAAAGTAAACCAGGGGTAGAAAGATCTGGGTTGTTCCCAAAGGAACAACCACTTGCAGAAAGTGATCTCATGCAAGCTGTTCTAAAGTCTTGACTTACTTCCCCATAGCCAGGGACAGTCACTTAGCTCTCCATGAATGAACAAAAACTGAGAGTAGGTTTGGGCTGTCTGATCTGGGCCACAGAGTCACTTGCTACCAGCCCTCCTTGGGGTTACCCTCCAAGAGAGCAGCATTCAATCTGAGCTGATGGGTGTGGGGTAGATAGTTAGAGGGTAGACAGGGTGGACAGCCTGGCTCCAAGAGCTTTGCAGCAGATGGAATTAGGGTGAGGCCTCCCACCTGGAGACAGAATTAAGAAATGAGGCCACGTGTGTAAGTAAAGCCAGCCTCACGTCAGTCACACTGGGCTGTGTGCCCAGTCAGCGCTCAAGATTGAGGGTGTGTGTGGGTGTGCGGGTGTGAGATTTAGTTGACCAATGAGTAAAAATGTTTTAACTTTCATTTATATTGGCAATGTGATCTGATATGTTATTCACTGAACTGAGGGCATCAGCTACACAATTTGGATTCCATGGAGAATTTCAGGATTCCCTAAAATTCTACATGAAATGTGCCTTCTTCTGCTAAAAGTCCCATATATTTAACCAGATCATTAAAATAGTCCTTAAATCCAAACACAGATCTGTACTCATTAATAATGTTTCCATGATGAATGTCAATTTTAAAGGACAAAGTACGATGCCTTGTAATACAGTAATTAGTGCATCAGTCTCATAAAAGACAAATTATATGAAATATTTAATTGTTGAAATAACACACAAGAAATTCCAGGTGTACAGTATCCAATTGATATTAGAACAGATTTGTTCATATTATTTTAGCTTTAGACATTTTTATAATTATTATTCCCCAGATGTTATTTCCCTGAATAGATATTCATCTTCTTTTTTATATGGATGGGGATATCTAAGACTTCTATCTGAAAACATACTGTTCATTTAGCTATTCTAAATCATCATAGGCATGTAAAAGCCACTTATGTGGTGACATTTTGGTGTTTTGGCATTTGTTCTTGGCTATTGTATTGCTTGAAAATGTTATCATGATTAACTGCCTCTATTCTATTCAATTCTTTTGCTGCCAAAAGAGATACTTGGTAAGTAGTTCAATAATCTTCAGCGAGCTTATAAAGACTTAGAAGTGGTTATGAGACACAAAACAGTGAGAGACAGGAGGCTAGTTTAAAACTAATTCTGCCTTTAAGCTGAGCACTTTCATTTTATGAAAAGAATGCCAATTATATAAAAATGTCCTTTGCAAACATCTTGTCCAGAAAGAAAACTTTGCACTAGGCCTCTGTGACTTTTTCTGCAGCTATTTCTTTTTCAAAAGACTAAACGTATTTAAAATTCTTAATTGTGACCTATTTGTTAGGTAAAGTAACTTGCCATGTGATTGTAGAGGAAATATGTCCCTTTGAGAACTGCTATTTGGTGCCAAGGTTAGCCCCAGTGTCCCAGGTTCAACATTTTCATGATGAACCTTACACATAAGGCCATTTACTTGTTGTTGTTCTTCAGTTATTAAGTCGCGTCTCTTTGCGACCCCATGGACTGCAGCACACCAGGTTCCTCTGTACTCCACTATCTCCCAGAGTTTACTCAAATTCTTATCCATTGAGTTGGTGATGCCATCCAACCATCTCATCCTCTGTCGTCCCCTTCTCCTCCTGCCCTCAGTCTTTCCCAGCATCAGGGTCTTTTCCAATGAGTCAGCTCTTCCCACCAGGTGGCCAGAGTATTGGAGCTTCAGCTTCAGCATCTGTCCTTCCACTGAATATTCAGGGTTGATTTCCTTTAGAGCTGACTGTCTGATCCCCTTGCTGTCCAAGAGACTCTCAAGAGTCTTCTCCAGCACCACAATTTGAAAGCATCAGTTCTTCAACTCGAGGCCTTCTTTATGGTCCAACTCTCACATCCAGAAATGACTACTAGAAAAACCATAGCTTTGATGATATAGGCGTCTGTCGGCAAAGTGATGTTTCTGCTTTCTAATGCTCTCTCTAGGTTTGTCATACACAGTGTATTAAAGAGCAAAGACTAAGGAACTGCAAATTCAGCCTTGTGGTGACCAGGTTCAATAGAGTAAATGTGCCAGGCTACTTAAAAAGCATTCCATATCCTCTTGTTTTCTCATTTCCTAGAGAGAAAACAAGATGGAGATACTTATAAAGAGGCAAAAGAAAATCAGAAATGTCAAGCTGATTTTTTTCCACTGTTTTCAAAGTTAAAATGAAAATATTTCATTCTGCTTAGTGTTTTAAAATCTGATATAACCTAACCTTTCAAAATTCACAGAGCACATTTGTTTGAAATTAACATCCTTCTTATAAAGTGAAAGTGTACTGCTCAAAGCAGAATTAGCTTTAAACTAGCCTCAGGTATCAGACATATCCTAGATAAGTAGTATAAAGCACTAGGTTTTCAGAATTTTTGCTAATATGTTTGAGTAGATTAAATAGTAATTTTGCTATTTTGACCTCACCAAACATAGAATGTGTCTTTAAAAAAATTCAAGAACACAGTTTAGCACCAGGTACTGGAAACCTAAAGTTTCAATGAATTTTTGCATTTTGTGCTGACATTTTAAAACCTTCCATGTCTCATGTCCATTCTCATAAATACACTGGGACAAGCATGTCTCCTTTTTTCCTAGAAATCTCTTCATTATAGAATCCAAACTAATTCCTGTTTCCTAAGATAAAAATTAAACCTTCACAAATTTGACTCTTGATCGAGTCAACACAAATAGATTCTATATGCTACTGTATTCATGTTTCATCTTTAAAAATTCTGTACTGTCAAACTCACATGTAGCATTATAATGAAACCAAAATTTCCTGACTCAGAACACCATTCTGCTCTGTCACCCAGCTTCTGAACTCTGAATCCACTCTCATTGTACCATGGAACACCTGAATCTAAAATGAGACTAAAAACTGCTTAGAGATGAGGCAGGGATCTTAGCTCTATCATTTTACCTGAACTAAGACTTCACTGATAGGGAAAGAATAACAAGGTGAGGTACAAATTAAGACGGGATGACAGACATGCTGCAGTTGATATTTAGGCTTGTGGACAATTCTGAGGAATGTTGAACCCTATTTTCTTCCTCTAATAATATAGAAAAAAAGTCTTTATGGGCTGCCTTGCACTATATGTCCAGATAACAGAAAGTCAGTAAATCCCTGTGGTGCTTAGTTGTACTTTCCCTTAGATCAAAGGTCAAAGAAGGCGCAATATGATTTTGCAGCTGGGACCTTACAGACAGGGTGTATCAGGAGAGGGCCATCGTCATGTGAAACACAGGATGAAGTTTCTATAGAATCCTCCTCTTTCCAAGAAGATGTGGAGTCTGATTGTCCTCAAATTTTCTGGGCTTCTCTTTTCAGAAGGCAGTGCATGCACGCTCAGTCACTACTCAGTCATGTGTGACCCTTTGAGGCCCTGTGGACTGCAGCCCACCAGGCTCCTCTGTCCATGGGATTTTCCAGGCAAAACAAGTGGAGTGGGTTGCCATTTCTTTCCAGGGGATCTTCTGACCCAGGGATTTGAACCTGCATCTCCTGCTTTGGTGAGAGCTTCCCTGGTGGCTCAGATGGCAAAGAATCTGCCTGCAATGCAGGAGAACTGGGTTTGATCCCTGGGTTGGGAAGATTCCCCTGGAGAAGGGAATGGCAACCTACTTCAGTATTCTTGCCTGGAGAATTCCATGGACACAGGAGCCTGGCAGGGCTACAGTCCATGGGGTCGCACAGAGTCAGACATAACTGAGCGACTAGGCACACTCCTGAGTTGGCAGGCATGTTCTTTATCACTGAACCACCTGGGAAACCCACTTAGAAGGCTGTCACAAAATCCTCATTCCATCCAAGAATATGACTGTACACCAAGGCTCAAAGCTCAAGAATAAACATTCTTGTGGCATCCACAGATCTTCCCTGCTCAATGTTTAATAGACATTCTGTCTTCTCAAGGAAATTTAAGTTCCCAAATCACTTCAAGAATTGAATTGGAAAATGTAAAATTTCATGTTGATCCTGGGTAAGATAAGAACTGGGCTTCCCAGGTGGCTCAAGTAGTAAAGAACCTGCTTACCAATCTAGGAGACATAAGAGACACAGGTTCAATCCCTGGATCAGGAAGATCCCCTGGAGGAGAACGTGGCAACCCACTCCAGTATTCTTGCTGGAGAATCCTGTAGACAGAGAAGCCTGGCAGGCTACAGTCCACGCAGTCGCAAAGAGTCGGACATTACTGAAGCAACTTAGCATGCACACACACAAGATAAGAACTCTGATTTCCCAGCTTCTTTCCTTAAGGGATTGGATAGTTTTAACTTGTGACTTTTACTTGTTTTAACTTTTCATCCACATTGTGCTTTTTTTAGGCCACCCAGACCTGTAACCAGCATGAATGACACCCTGTTCTCCCACTCTGTCCCCTCCTCAGGAAGTCCTTTTATTACCAGGAGGTAAGTTCCAGTCCTATTATAAAACAAACCCTCTCTTTGATAATGAGCCTTGATTCTGTGGCAAGAAAAATATTCTCATGTAAGCCAAGTGCAGAAGATTATTATTAGAAACAAGTTTGTAAATATCTGTCACAAGGCATCAATTTCATTCATTTGGATGCTTTTGGAGAGGGCAGGGATGGCTTTGGGAATGAAAGTCACTCCTGGAAACTTGCATTTACAGTCCATCCATAGTAAGAATGTGCAGTATGTTTAAGTTTTACTTCTAACACACATGCATTCTATATCATTGAAAAAGTCACTTTTATAGCACCTGGAATGGCCCATTTAACCTGGGGAATTGGCATCTCTAGATGCAATAAGGAATTATGATGGACATTCTGAAGCATCTCATAACATAAAACTCCAGATATAAAAGAATCTTCTTAGTAAATTCTAGAGTTCCTGAGGCTAGAGGCTCAAATCCAAATTTGGACATATAGTTTCTACATAAGTAACTCATAATAAGAACAAGAACTTTAAAAAAGAGAGAGAGAGTGGATACAGATCTCATCTTTTAGCACAAAGGTCCACTGCCATGTAAGCAAACAGGTGAAGCAAATACTTCTTCCCAAACCAGCACAGTGAGTAGGCAGAGGTCAAGATGTACTTCAAGTCATTTGATCAAATAGGACAAATAAAACACCAGAGAATTACTTTAGAAATAAAGGAAGAAGGCTCACAGGAAAACAGGAACAAAGGTGAAGGAAATTTAAGTGGGCAAATGAATGAAAGATTTAACATGCCTTTCAGTCAGAAAAAATAAATAAAACAGCCTCATGTGTTTCAAAAACAGTCATAATCAATCTTTTCCTCAAAGAGTTGCTAAGGCATCAGTTTCCCTGTAATATCCTGGGATGTTCTAGTGAAGATGTACAGATAATGAGACTTAGAACACTGCTGATTTTTCCTTCGAATCCCTGGATTTGCCTGTCATCAGGAACCTGAGATGAACATGTTCTCCATAATTGTAATTAGTGGAATAAACAGAATGTGGTCATTCATAGTGTTTCCTTCCTATAAATCCAGCAAGTCTGTAACAAATAGAAATGGGGAGGCAATTGAACGACAGAACATCCACAGTGAAATCCTATGGTTGAAGCCCTCAGTATGTTCCTTTAGCATTCCTTGTCAGAACCACCATCAAATTCAACCATCTTTTATAAAACAAAATTATGAACTGTAAAATCTATTAGAAACACGGGCCTGTGCCTCTATGTTAGGAAAGAGATTCTTATATTAGGAAGCTCTGCATTCTGTGAATGTCCAGCAGAGATAGACCCCATCCTTACTGAAGGTCATTTTATATCATTTCAGCTCGGACGGTGCTTATGGTGGATACGTCTAGATGGATAACATGGCTTCTTCCACTCTAAACTATTCCTATAATACTTTGAGCTGTTCTGCTTCCTCCAGGGTGCATGGTATCCCTTAACCCAAAATAGGATCATTTCCCTTTTTTCCCATTTTCAGTCCTTCTAGAATGTTCCCTTTGAACCACAAGCGCATTGTTTACAATTTGCACTTCCTGCTATCCTCACTGAGGTTGGCCTCTGGTTTCTGTTTTAAGGGTGCTATTCAATAAAGCTGTGTACACTGAACATCTTTCCTCTCTGAGTGGGCCTTGCTCTGTCCATGGGAGGTTTTAACGAGGTCTCATTGTTTGCATCCCTCAGGTTACCTGAGGGGATAAGTGCATCCAGCCCTGTGGCTGAGGAGCATTCGCTCATAAAGCTGTATGTAAATCAGCTTGACCACGGCACACGGTCAGTATCCCAGCCCTGAATCACTAATCATAGTAGTAGCTCTGTAGCTAGACTGCTGGTCCTAAGTCATCACTAAAATCCCCTTGTAGTTTGGGGATTCGATGGAGAAACAGGTCTTCTGGGGATTCATGAGATTCCATTGAGATTTCTATCTTGAGCTGCACTGCTCAGCTCTTTTCTCTCTTTTCCACTTCTCCACTTCTTTTACTGATTTTATGTCTTCATACCGGTATGTATGAGATGCTTGTATGTGAAGAGTACCACACTGGATCTCCTTCTTTGGACGATTCTCTGCTTTGGTACAGTTTGTAAAACCCCAGATGGCGATTCCTTAGACTTGTGTTAAAGAGCCTCGTGGAATGATTCCAGCCCTAACTGGATGAGACCAGGACAACATCACATGGCTAAACCATATTGTAGTAAAAGACTTCAGGATTTATATTCTTCTGTCCCACTAGGCTTGGACCAATTTTCCCCCAGGTAAGCAGCCTGATTCCTACTGAAGCAACAATTTCAAAAAAAAGAAAAAACAATTTCAGACTCTGAGTGCTTAATTTCTATTATTTGATAATGCTGGTGGTGATCCACTGTTTCTTTCTTAGCTGGGACCATACACTAAGGTTGATGGAAACCATCATGCCAACTGTGGACATCAGTTAAAGGCACTGATCTCCCAACAACTGGAACTGAACCAAAGAAATACGACCTAGAGCTCAGCCCTCACTCCTACCCCGTTGTAACCGCCTGTTTGAAAATCTGATGAAACCTAAACAAGCCAAGAGTGGTGCTGGTCAGTGTTAAGGCCACATTAAAAAAGTAAAGAAGTTTGCCATGAGATATTTTATTTAGTCTGAGTTTTTGGTCTTTGGTATAATGACAGATCTTACAAAGATAAAGCAGAATGAGGATGAATTGAAATCACTACTCCAGAATCCTTGCCACAAACTCTTGGCATTCCTCACCTAGAGTCCTTTACAAGCGTACACTTTGATCTTCAAAAGGTGCGAGGGTCTATCTTTGAAGTCTTTTGACATCCTAGTAACCTAACTCACACATATTTATGAGGGTGTAACTCTGGCTACCACCACTGTCTGCCCCATCCCCTCTTCTGATATCTATTTCTAGCTACATACTTGATTAACTTTTCCCTTAACTTAAAAGAAAAGAGGGAATTCTCAAAGATACTCTCCCTTAACCCTTTGAAGTCTGTGTGTGTGTGTATAAGAACTCAGTGCTGTTTAGCTGTTAGATACAATGTGGATCAAATAATGCAATTCATGAATTAATTCACTTCATTCATTTTCTTGGTCATAACTATATCCCTAAACCTAGATTATTTTCTTATAAATGCATGAATTTATAAGAAAGGGAAGCATATTACCACCACTAGGTAAAAAGCTCCAATATATGATGTATGATATAAGATAGGGCAGCCGCATTAAACTTATGAAAGATAGCTTGCCATTATGGCAAATATTATTGCAAGACCTGACCACAAATTTGGGCCCAAAAGGCCCTTTTTTCCACCTCACTGCCCACAGCATTGTGCCTGTGAGTATCTGCTCTGTCTCTTTTGGCATCATGCCCCCTTTGTAAAATCTTAATTATCTGCCCAAATCCTTCCCTCATTTATGTGAGAGAGCTAACCAGTCTTTTTTTGTGTAAAACATTTCACTAATTATGGCTATTATGGCCATTTCTTCATTAGCTACAATAAGGGCATTCTAAAAGTTTGAATAGTTAAATTCTTTTATCTTCAATTTTAGAAACATCCCTTAAATATTTTTGCAAATACAGCCCCTAAACTCTTAACTGCTCACGAAAAGAATCACTTTGGCTATTATGTATACCATCCAGCCAGATCTGATCACTGTCCCAAATGTTAGAGCCTGGCTTATGATTCACAGTGTTGAACACAATCTAACATACTGTTTTCTGGTTTATCACCATGTTATTTGGTTAATTACTAATACTGTCTCAGGTCCAGGGGTCCATATGGGGAAGATATGCTGCCTACCCATGCATTTCCCAAATCTTGATTCTTTTCAATGAAATAGCATTTGCAAATTATTTTTGTTGGTTGACTGGTTGGTCAGTTGGTTGATTTGCTTGGATTTTCAACCACAGAAAGGCTAATTCTCTGTGTCCTTTTTCATTTTTTCATATGACACTTTGCCTTCCCAAAGAGTCTTTACCTAACAATCCAGATTTTTAATCTGATGTATAATGTTCAAACTAAACTTGAAGCATTTGTGCTTTGGTAATCAAAAGTGAATAGAAACAAAACTGAGGTACTGAATCTAGCCTTTGCTTCTGAAAATCAGTTTTCTTCATAGTTAATATTTTCTAAGATTAAAGCCTTTTCCTTTTCAGTCAGGAAAGTAGATAAATTTATAAATCAGCATCATAAAAACAGATATACACTTATAAATCAACCACCTGAAGATTTCTTCTTTCTTTTTATACTTTAGGGTCATGTTGTATGAAATTTGAAATAAACACTCTCTGCGAATATGTATCCCATGTAGCTTTCTTTATTTCCAGAGTTCTACTGAGATGCTAGATTTTTTTCAAACTTGAATTAAACTGGTCTTCGAACTCAACTCTGTTCCCTATACTAAAATGTTAGTGTATAATTAAATATGCAGTCACCTCTTCACTCTTTTACTACAGTTGCTTAGTTGCTGTCTGTGTGTGCCCCATACCCAGCAAACTTTTTAGGCATCTCTTGGCAAAAATACAATTGATGACAGCTTAATACTATCTGGGGAACACAGTAAATGTAGTGAATCAAATATGACCTAGAATTCTTATTATTTCTTCCATGGTACCTGCTTAAAATGGTCTGACTTTCATGCCAGCCTGAATTGATGACAACTCATTTTCCCACTGAGATGCTGAGCTACTTTTATGCATGTTTGCTGATTTGCACTGTGGAAGATATTTTACATTTCACATCAAAGATATTGAAGGCTAGAAATAGAAAGGAAACAAGAGTTGTCAACAAATTATCACTTGAAAAACCTGACTTGTGGACTCTTTTTTGTTGTCTTTATATTAGTTTGATGACCTTGGCATAGTCTGTGGCAATTATAGTGATAAGCAAAATGTTATTCCCAACTGACAGATAAGGAGGGAGCCATGTTTACAAGTCATTCTTCATAACCCCAAACACCAAAAATTTTATCAATTATTTAAGAATCAATAAAAAAGGAAATATCTGTTCTTAATTTGCCATGGTTCAAATATTTTCCATTTAACCATTGTAATGATAATTATACATAATCTGTTTACATTATATTATTGCTCTCTGCAAGACTTTTATTTAAATCTTGTTACTTTCATGTTAAATAAAAGAGAAATATTTGGCTAGAGCTAATGTAATAACACAGCATAAGCAGAGGTGGTTTTTAAGACTATATGGCAGGCCTAAGCAAAAACCCAAAGAGCAGTTGTGTGTGGTTTTGTTACCTAGCTTGTGTGCATGCTTGCTAAGTCACTTCAGTCGTGTCCGACTCTATGCAACCCTATAGACTGTAGCTCCCCAGACTCCTCTGTCCATGGGATTCTCCAGGCAAGAACACTAGAGTGAGTTGCCATGTTCTCCTCCAGGGGATCTTCCCAACCCAGGGAGCAAACCAAGGTCTCTTAAGACTCCTGCATTGACAGGCAAGTTCTTTACCACTAGTGCCACTAGAATACCCCAAAATGTTTGCACTTAAGAAAAACTCCTGACATCAGGTGTCATCCTCTGAAACTAAAGGGTGAATTTAAATAAATAAATATGAAATATTTTGAAATCATTCTGTCCTTCCAGAACCCATTATGTCAGAGTGTGTGTGTATGTGTGTGTGTGTGTGAAAATTTTTGGAAGAAGACAATTTATCTTTTTATATATTCTTTCCCTATACTCCCTATACAGAGTATAAAAAGGAATTGGTGAAAAAATAAGAGAATTCTTTAGAAAAGAATAATCTAAAGGATTATTTACAGCCTCTTTTCTTTCAGCAGAATACATGAAATTCAAATTTCACCTGGTCATACCTCCTGGGTATGATTGTCCCCACACCCAGTAGTGAAAATATGTGTGCAGAAGGAAGTCTTTATACAATGGCAGGACCTGGTGAAAAGAAAATAAGGATAATAAGAAAAAGAGGCGTGTATACACACAATCTTAGGATGATAGCTTTGCTTCTCCTTGGGTTTCAGATTAGAAAAGATTTATCACCCACAGTCAAAAGGAGCCCCAGGTAGTTTCCAATTTCAGAGCTAAAAAAGGAGGAATGCATTTAAATTTAAAGACGAGGCATGCAGAAGATGGAGAAGCTCCAAGAGCTAACAGTACAGAAGAGCCATTGGAACGTTTGCCATCCCAGAAGCAGTCACTTCTTTTTTTTAAATTTTTTTTTAAATTGGAGGATAATTGCTTTACAATGTTACGTTGGTTTCTACTGTATGGCAATGTGAAATCAGCCGTAGGTATACAGACAATAGCCAGAAAATGGAAGCAACCTAGATGTCCATCAGCAGATAAATGAATAAAGAAGTTGTGGTATATATATACAATGGAAGACTCATTGGAAAAGACCCTGATGCTGGGAAAGATTGAGGGCAGGAGGAGAAGGGGACGACAGAGGGTGAGATGGTTGGATGGCATCATCAACTCAATGGACGTGAGTTTGAGCAAGCTCCAGGAGATGGTGAGGGACAGGAAAGCCTGGCATGCTGCAGTCCATGGGGTCACAAAGAGTTGGACATGACTGAGAGACTGAACAGCAAATATGCAATGGAATATTACTCAGCCATAAAAAGGAACAAATTGAGTCAATCGAAATGAAGTGGATGAACCTAGAGCCTGTTATACAGAGTGAAGTAAGTCAGAAAGAGAAAATCAAATATCATATATTAACACATATGTATGGAATCACTTCTTGATAAGGCTCTAGGTTCCAGTTGTGCCAGATCCCAGAGACCACAGTGAATTGGAAGTATCACCAGTCTTCTCCAAGCAGACTGCCAGAGCTACAAAATGAAAGTTTAAACATCAAAAGTACTCTATGAAATATTGTGAGGGGACATTGCTTTAGAGAGATCATCAAAAACTACTTAATGTCACTACCTTGACAACAATTCAGGAGAAAATTTGTTCCACTTTGCTTCCTTTCTTCAAGCTCCTTGCGAGCTGCAGAAGCAATTCTGGTAAAGATACTTCACGTGAAAAAAGTCTTGATAGACCCAAGTTTTAAGTGCAACCTGCCTCTTTGTCTGCTTTCTCAGTTCTTGATCCATTTCATTTGAGTGCCTTTTTCCCCCTGTTTTCATCACTCACTTGGTTTCCTCTATATTATTTTTTTAATTTATTTATTTAACTTTCTCTTTTGGCTATGCCACACAGCATGTGGGAATCCTAGTTCCCCGACCAGACATCAAACTCGCACCCCTTGCACTAGCGGCAGAGTCTTAACCACTGGACCACCAGGGAAGCCCCTTGGTTTCCTCCATCCAGGGTCATAGTTTTGGCCTCCCAGTAATAAATGATGAGGAGAAGAATTCAAGGTACTAGGTAGTAGAGAAACCATGTGGACAGTGAGGACCAAAAGTCAGAAATGCTCTTGGCACTAGATGCTAAGAACTGTAGCAAAATAAGATAAACGGTTTATTTCCACAAACTCATAAATGTAGAGAATGGCACCCCTATATATACCAAGAACTACTTTGCCTAAGGATTCATGTGGGAAAGGAAAGGAACATGAAAGGATTTAAATGATGCCTTTGAACTAGCACTGGCAAGGGCCAAGGCAAAGAAAATGGCAACAAAAAGACAAGAGATGTGTATGTACATCTGCTAGTCCCTTTGAGGAAGGAAGGGACTGGGAAAGAGCAAGGGGAACAGGCAAGTGGAGGCGAGGAAGGAGAGAAGGGCCCAAAGAACTGGAGAGACAGAAAGAATGAGCCACCAAAGGAGAATCTGGGCAACTGCTTGCTTTCTGCTGCCAACCCTGCACCATCGTGATGTCAGCAGGGCTCCTCCAGTGCCCCAGCTTGCCAGTAAGTGGTGGGACACACACAGCTTTGTTGACACATCTCCTTTCTCCCATAAGGCATCACCAGAGTAATTTGTAACAAACACATCCTCCTGGTTAATCCTCCCATGTTTCTTTTTCTTTCCTTCTTACACACTCATCATCAGAAGTTGTAACTGTGTAATTATTAGGCCTTTGATTTAAGGAAAAAGCACAATTTCTGAGACTCAAGTTACCATGTGGCATATGTAACAAAGCAGAGAAATAGTTTCAATTGGAGGGAAGAATTTTGACTATTTCAGGCAATGTTTTGAGTGGTTTTACAGGGATCTGAAATCAGTTATATAATAGGCAGATCTATTTTGTGTTGTTAAAAAAAACGTTGGGGGAGGTGACTGGACAGTGGTAGGACTGTAGCTACTGGATAATGAGCGTAGAGGGCTTTGCTGTCTTGGTGGGATGGTGGGAAAACAACTCCAATGGCTTAAAGTGGTTATTTGGCCCTGACAACATGTTTCATAGTCTTAGAAGTTCAAAATCAATATGCTGTTAAAAAAGCTTAGCTTCATCAGAAAATTAAATCTCCTAGAGCATTAATTTCATTTTTAAAGTCAGTTTTGTTTGTGTGAAGTTGTACTTTTTGAGTAATAGGTACAATCTTGAAAAGCTGAGTGAAGTAATATATTTAACAAACCCATGACTACCTACTCTGTAGTAGATATTTTTTATAGATAAAATTTGTGTTTAAATTTACCATAAGCCTCACTACTTAAGGAATCTTTGTAGTATATATTATTGTAAATTACAAGAATTCGTTATAATATGCATAATTTTAATGTGCTATTCATTTATAAATTGCTATATTTTGTGCTCTGTAGTCTGAAAAAGTGGTACTTTGTAGTAAAACCTTAAAACTTTTAGTTGAAGTTTTTGAGATTTTTAGTTCCTTTATTTAGCCATTCTTACATTTATGGGCTTCCCTGATGTCTCAGATGATAAAGAATCTACCTGCAATGCAGGAGATCAAACCTGGGTTTGATCCCTGGGTTGGGAAGTTCCCCTGGAGAAGGGAATGGCTACCCACTCCAGCATTCTTGCCTGGAAAACTCCTTGGACAGAGGAGCCTGGTGGGCTACAGTCCATGGGATCACCAAGAGTCAGACACTATTGAACAGCTAACAGTTTCACTTTCACAGTTTCACATTATATTAAGAAACTGGAAAAGTGGGGAAGTTTGTGGTAAAAAATCCAATAATTTCTACCAAAGTAATAAAAACTTGGTATTCAAACAGTCACACAGTTAATTTTTTTATTCTCCGTGAAGGGAGAAAGGGGTTGTTTTAAGTATATCTGTGTTGCAGGGCAAATTCTTAGCCTACCAAAGAACAAACTTTCTTTCAGCATATTACAAGCACAATTATAATACTAAGAATCAATATATTTCTCAGTGAAGCATGCATATTCATTATAGTAAATCTTGGGTGACTTTGGCTTGGCCACATGTTATTAGTTATTATTTATATTTCTATTTATTCTTTAATAAAACTAAGTTGTCATAAAATTACCAATTAAAATGAACATTCTTCCTAGTAAATATAAAATAAGAATTTGCTCTATTGGTGGGCCTCTCTTCACCAGTTACAGACACAAGGTGTATGAATATATATATATTTATAAGGCTCAAAGGTTTATTTCTCTGTTTCTCTGGAAGTTTTCTTTGCAGCTTCCTTCACAGCCAAGGTCAGGTGATTTGTGCCTGAAGTAGGAAAGCACTTTTAATATGACACCAGTCTCTAGGTAATTTTCAATTCTCTTTTCAATACAGAAAAGCAGAGGATAGAGAGCAGGCTGCAGAAGTAAGCTTCTTGTGTGGAGTCTGAAGGCTGGCAGGACTTAGTGAACTACAGCACTGTATGCAAGAGAGTCTGGGGAGTGCTGAATGAATGAACTGTCGTTGTGTCTAGGCATACGCGGTCTATTTGTTAGGCGAATTGCAGAGGTCAAATCTGGGATCATAGTGGGGCTTGCGTAGTTGTAATTACAGTTCTCAGGCCAGGTTGCTACTTCTAGCCCAACTCTGTGGACATCTGAAAACATCTTGAACATTTCAAAGTAATGAAAGCTGTCCAAATGGAGCTTGGATGTAGTCTTGGGAGTTTCTGTTGCCAGTTTCTATTCTCGAATGCATTGCCGTGTTTACGCTCTTCTTGGCTTTCCCATCTTATTAACCAGCTCTCCTCCCAAGGACAGTGAAGTCGAGCAGAGCAAACTGCTGGCTAGGGCTGCTCCAGCCTTGCTGAAGGGCAAAGGGTAAGTTAAAGCCAGAGTGTGCTGAAACCCTGAATTAACTGAACTAAAAATGCAGATTTCTTGTGTCAAAGATGCTTTGTGTTTGACAGACCATCTTTGATTTAGTCAAAGCAGCTTCATCATAACCCCATTAACAGCACCAAGTAGTTATTTTGAGTAGACACATCTGTGTTGTTACTTGCTTTCCCTGATTTCCTTGTTAAAATGACTAAGCTTCAGATTTGATCTTCCAAAAGATAATCTTTGCTTACAACCTATTTCAGTGTATTTACTGTACAGATGAATTTCTTGGACTTCGTGGTTTGAAGAATGCAAATCCGCATTCTTAAAAGTTACTTGACCTAAGTGGAAATCTTTTTTTAAGTGAGTGAAATGACACTGTGAATTTCATGGCTTGGATTTTGCTTGTGTTTTTTCATAGAACATCACTTAGTTTTCCTTTACCTGCTTGGTTTTCTAAATGCCCTTACTGCCACAAACTCACTCCTGCCTGCCCCACTTATTTCTGTCTACCTCTCCTAACATCCTTTCTTTCCTCCTGCCCCTGTTTCAGGATACAGTACAGCCTGAATGTGGCAGACAGGCTAGCTGATGAACATGTTCTCATCGGGTTGTATGTCAACATGCTCCGGAACAGCCCACCATGGTTAGTGCAGGGTTGGCTGCTTGACTGTCCTGAGAGAGGGGAACAGTCCGATCTCTTGACAAGCAGTCTCAGCAAGGGCCAAAGTCACTGGATGGCAGAGGTGTCACTAAAGTACTTTTCTAATCAATTCAATTAAAATATCTTGTGATATTACTTTGGACACTGCCCATCAACATATCATAGAATTCACATTTTTGCTAATATCTCAGCTAAAGGACAAGTTGTATAAATGAGTGCTGTGCTAAATATTAGCATCTAGGGAAATTCAGGACTCTGGGTCCCTCTGGTCAATTCTGTGTTATATGTGCCATATCAAATTACTGCACGATGGTGATGCAAGAATTTGTCTTATTCCGAGGACTTGTGTGTTTCTGCCAATTTGGAGAACAATGCTCCATTCTCTTAAGATAGATGTGGAAAAGAAATAGGATGAGATCATACCATGGAAATCATTTCCTGAACAATGATAACAGTGGGAGAAATTGTCTTTCAACTCTTTCTTACAAATGTTTCAGGGTACTCATCTTGATAGATGCAAAGCTTGTTTTCAAATGTGTTAAATGTGTGAATTCAGATAAAGTATTAGAATAACGGCATTCCTATAGTTTTCCCTTTCTATTTTAGTTGTGACATAGGAGATTCCTCCCATTGGTGCAAGTTAGTTAATAATAAATGTACATTTTCAATTTGAGTGGAAATAAATGGACAAACTGTATAATTGTCCTATGTTTCATCCTAGTTTAGACAACTATTTTACAAATATGTTTTCCAAACCAGTTCCTTAGAAATATTTGATTTTACTTAATAACCCTAATATAATTTCTCTGAACTAAGAGCCTATGGATTTTTTTGCAGTCATAACTATGTAGGGGTTAAATTTCCTTTAAAATTGATTCCCTTTCTTCTACTGTGTCACAGAAAGCATCCTTGAAACATTTGGCATCACTCACCACTTGGTATTGTTAACCACTTGTTTCTAGAACTTTCCTCTCTTGACTGCTTCTGATGCCTTAGAAATATTTTTTGAAAGATTACCACATGAGTTTAAGTGATGTATTGAATATGTATTTGTTTTAATAGTTATATATTTATCTTAATTTGTATTTAATATTCATATATATATATATTCAGCATATCAGTTTAATTTTTACTATATCCTCTGTTTTGGGAGATAAAGATGCACTCTTCAGCTAAACCCATCTCTTTGTTCAAATTTTCCCAGTTTGTAGATCAAACAGTTACTTTCTTTTCTTACATCTCTACCTCCCAAAACTACAAGTGGAAAAAGGAATGGTTTTCATCTTACTCCCAATAAATTTGGACCACCCCCAGTGTTATATGGTAGCTGAAACAACAGAACTAAATGCTTAAATTACCTCCCCCCCAAAAATCTGTGTTGGGAACCTTCAAAGGAGGATATAGTAAAGATCCAATCATGTCTAAGGCAATGCCAAGATCTCATGCCATGTCCTCCCCTGTAATTCTAAACACATTCCAATTATTTCTACAGTTCTTCTTTGACCTTTTCTTAATTAAAGTTGTAACAGAGAAATCTCCAAAGAGGAAAGCACGGAGTTTGACACTCCCAGCGCTTTTCCCTCCTCAAGTGGTTAATCATATTGACTTGATGGCCACTTAAGACCATAAAACTGTCTCAGCAGAGACACCTTACATCGACTTGATAAAAGCTAGATGTGATTTGTATTTTGAAAACAAAGCAGAATTTAAGACTGATCAATGAAGCCGACTCCATTTTAATAGCTCCTGCTGTCCATAATTCTCACCGCTGTTTTCCATCCTTAAAAAATTCCAGCTTCTCTTTTCTCATTTTCCCCCTCCCTTTCCTTTATTGTAATTAGTTGCTAATGATTCCCCACACCTGCCAGGATTCTGTAAGTGATGAAGTGATCTCTCCTCTCCTTTATTATCATCATAGCTATGATACTTTACTGTCATTCAACTTAGTGAGATCTAGAATGATGGCAACCACAAGAGCTACTTTTTTTTTAAGTATATGAAGCATATGATTGTGTTTTTATTTTGTTTTTGTTTTTTATTATTTTTATTGGAGTATAATTGCTTTACAGTGTTGTATTAGTTTCTACTCTACAGCAAAGTGAATTAGCTGTACATGCATCCCCTCTTTTTTGGATTTCCTTCCCATTTAGGTCAGACAGCATTGGGTAGAATTCCCTGTGCTATAAAGTAGGTTCTCATTAATTATCTATTTTGTGAAATTGAAAGTGCTAGTTGCTCCGTCATATCTGACCCTTTGCACCCCCATGGACTATAGCCCACCAGGCTCCTCTGTCCATGGAATTCTCCAAGCAAGAATATTGGAGTGGGTTGCCATGCCCTTCTCCAAGGGATCTTCCCCACCCAAGGATCAAACCCAGGCCTCCCTCATTACAGGCAGATTCTTTACCTTCTGAGCCCCCAGGGAAGTAGATAGTATCAGCAGTGTATATATGTCAAGCCCAAGAGCAATGGTTTTAAAGTATTTGCCTCACAATAAGCATTGTGTTTAAAACTTTATTTACATAATTTCCCCTGGTCCTTAGATAAGCCTATAGAGTAAATACTCTCATCCCCATTTTATCAATTGGTAAAGATACCAATTCAGAGAGTCTACATGATTCTCTCACAGACACGAACCCACTACACAATGGGGCAAGGATTTCTACCTTCATCTACTTGATCCCAAGCTCATAACCACAATGCTACATTGCCTATTATAAAGCCTATATAAATGCATGCTCTCCAGAAAGCTCTTTTAGACACTCCACACTGTATCCACCACATCTCTATTTACTAAAATTGCATATCCTACTGTATTATTTTTATTTCATTTTAAGAGAGATTTTGAGCACATACTAGGAAAAGGAATTGTTAATAAATTACCATTTATGTATTTAGTTCTGCACATCGTGATTTCTTATTTTAATTATAAGCTTCAAAAGGACAAAACTTCTCAGTCTCTTGGACCTCATCACAGCAGCCAGAATATTAATAATAAATTTTACATTTATGAAGTGCTTAAAAAATTGCAAAGCCCTTTACCATATATTGTTTAATCTGCTTGTCAAAGCCTGTAAGTTTGGATATTATTATTTCTATCTCACTGATAAGCAAATGCCGATTCCAAGACATTAAGTGACTTATCCAAGGTCACCTGCCAGCGAGGTCTTTTGATACTGAGTCCCATCTGTTTTCCACCTCATTTCTCAGTCTTCCTGTCTGTGCATCCTTCATGAGATGGTCTATAAACAGGAATCTAACAGTTGTTCTTGATTAAAAGGTACGTTTTTGCGATTATCCATATATGCTCCTAATTCACTCTGGGTAGGGGCATTTTCCCCTATATCTATTCTCCCCTGTATCTACTTAACATAATGGGAAACTGACTCATTTGTAGACAGTCTGCTGCTAAATTCAAGATGTACTTTTGTGTCCTTGCTGGTTCTGATGTCAGATAAGCCAAACAAATAAACTGCAGCTCAAGGGAGAATTCCTAATTCCTAAGTGAAGTTTTAAAAGCCTTAGTGGTTTTCAAGCACCTTCTTCAGTGGTGGAGGAGGAGTCTGAGAGTCACACAATGAGGGCTTTTTCTGGCCTCCCCTAAAGCTTCCCCTGGTGGTTTATAGGACAATGGTGGCAGGCACACCAAGGAATATCAGAAACCAACCCACAACTTGCAACTCTAACCATAATTATTAACCCTGATACTTACCAGTCAGATGTTCCTGGTTTGTTTCTTTCAACTCTGAAAAGATGGGCTTCCCCAATGGCCCAGAGGTAGAGAATCAACTGTAATGCAAGAGTCGCAGGAGACATGGGTTCAATCCCTGGGCCAGGATGAACCCCTGGAGGAGGGCACGGCAACCCACTCCAGTATTCTTGCCTGGAGAATCCCATGGAGAGAGCAGCCTGGTGGGCTACAGCCCATGGGGTCTCAAAGAGTTGGACATGACTGAAGCGACTTTAGCACGCACAGGAGGGAAGAAGGCAGCCCAGTGTAGGCCACCATCTAAGCTTTGATGTCACGGTCCATTGCTGTCACTTTGTCAGGCCGCTGATCTCATATAACTAGGTTAAAATTTGTCCTGCTTATTGTTTTTCTCGAGTATGAGAAATTGGACATTTTGACGCCTATTTCCGGGTTTCACATATGAGGTCTAAGTAGTCATTGGCTCACTTGCTTCCTTTTTTTTTTTTTTGCAGCACCACACAGCTTATGGGATCTTAGTTCCCCAAGCAAGGATTGAACCCATGCTCCCTGCAGTGAAAATACACAGTCCTAAGCACTGGACCACCAGGAAATCCCCTTGCCTCTTTTAATAGATTCCTACGACACTTAAGTTCACAGCCCAGACCACTCCCCAGGGCTGTAGGTTTGTGTGTGATCTGACCTGCGCCTACCCCTCTCCTAGCCTCAGCTCCCTCAGAGTTTTCCCACTCAACCACAATACTTAGTCACATCAGTTTTGGATCAGTTCCTTGAAAATACTCCTAAAACTGCCTCAATAACCATGATACTAGCTTTTCCCTATGCCTAGAACATTCTTCCCCATTTTCCTCCTTCCCTTTCCTTCCACACACATGACCTTTCTCTTTCTCTGACTTCCAAATACTGATTAAAGGTACCTACCTCCTCAGGTAGGTGTCCCACACTAGTCTGATCATGGGACACTGTGTATTTCATTCCTGTCATAACTGTAATCATTCATTGCTTGGTTAGTTGGTTCACTACCTACCTTCCGCTTACAGGGCAGACCTTCTCAGACTCATTCACCACCATCTCTGTGGCATCAGCATGGTGCCTGGCATACCGCAGATGCCCAGTAAAGGCCCACTGGGGTTGGAGACTATTGATAGTACTATAGACACAAAATTCCCTCTCACTCTAAACAAAATTTGTGAAGAGTCCTCAGAAAAAAATTTTTTACTATAAAAATGCTTTCTACTATTAAAAACAATCACCTATTATAAATTAGCCCTGA